CCCACCGCTGCCACCCACAAACTATGCCCCCCAAGTCTCAGGAGACACCAGTCACCCATGGGTGAGGAGGCTCACTGAGAGCCCCACAACAGCTGCACCACCATGACGAGGCACCCCCTGCCCACCCGGTGGCAGCAGTGGCACAGCCGTGCCCCCCACTGCTTCCAGGTGGGAAGGGAGCACCTCGCTGTGGTGGTGCATCCAGTGTGGGGCTCCTGGTAGTGGCATCAAGCCTCCTTGCTTTGCCACAGATGCCCTGGGGGGAGGGCAGCTGGGCAAGGAGCCTCAAGCCCACAGCAGGCAGCCCACATCTGCCTTGACCCCAGGTACAAATCCAGGGGGCATGTGCCCCTCATGCCTTCCTCCCCAGGAGTGCACACAGCAGCAGGGAGCCAGCCCCCACCCCACCCCTGCAAACAAGCTGCCTGTGGCTCCAACCTGCTTCCCTTCAGCTGGGTCCCACATTCTGGCCGCATGCACCAGCCCAGCTGTGTAGTGCCCACAGCCCTGCCCCACTCCCTCCTTTCCTGGCTCCCTCTCATGATGGAGCCATCAATCTGCTCCCCCACTGACTTAACTGGAGGGAGCTGTTCTCCACGCTGCCTGGCTACCATGTGCAACACCCTCCTCCCATTCCCCTAGCCCCAAGTAGCCCCTTGCAGGCTGGATCTCTGCCAGCCTGCATGGGGAGGCCTGCCAGCACCCTCTATTTTTCTCCTTTAAAAGAGAAAATCTGTGATTGGCTCTTTTTTTTTTAAAGCTGGACAGCCCTTTTTATAGGGCTATAGTGTGATTATTACTTCACATATGTGGCTGGTCTTATTTTGCATGTGTGGCGGGTGTAAATTTATTGCATTGTCCACCAGTCAGTTGCATAATATATGTCACATGTTTCAGGTATAAGATATAGCAGGGGCCCTAGTGTAATAACAAGGATCCTGATGAGTGAAAGGGGCAGGGGGAGCTCTGATTTTCCATGATAAAAAACACAAAATCAAAAGCTAATATTTATTGGTATTTAGAATTTATTTTATTATAGTGATTGAGGCACTGATGGCCTTCTAAATTGTTTTAAAATTGTAAATATATCAATAAAAATGTGTTCAAGTGATGCCTATAAATATATATATGTGGCGTTTCATTTTAATCACGGAAAAACGTGGATTTGGGGGTTTTTAATCAGAGAATTTGCCATTCCCCCCCTTTTCAGAAAATGTGCTTTTTTTTAAAAGTAAAGAAAACCAGGATCCCTTGTAAGGACAAGTGCATGTCCTTTCTTGTCAGGGTAACATAAAGACAAAGCTTGTTTTTTGGATTGTTTTTTTTTTCCTAACTGTGATCCTATTTAATCATTGCAATTTTATTCCAGGGCATTTTGAATTTGGGAACAAGTGAAAACAAATTGTGCTTTGATTTGATACAGGAGAGAGTAAGTGTTTCTGTGGGTATGATGACTTTTGGATCATGGGATTTTTGATAGCTCAGATAGTGGTGCAGACATAGTTAAATTATAACAGTGCAATGTTTGTTTTACAAATAAATAATTTAGTACAGAGTAAATAATGTTCATTTAACTATTTCTGTGCATTGAGAGTGCTGTTTATTTATTAGATTTCTATATGACAACTTGCAGAAACAACTGCATGTTGTACATCGTAGCTAGATGTTATGTTCAGATATATTTAGTGAAGTGCTATTAGCAAAGTAACATTACACAAAAAAACATATTTTTTCCCTAAGTTTCATTCACATTAGAAAAATGCATTCAACTTAAAATATTTAGATAGAAGTTATTTATACTTGTTGCATGCAACAATTTGGTGTGGATTTTTTTGGAAATTCTTGATTGCTTCATCAAATGGTTTGATTCTCTTTGCAGGTAGAGCTAAAACTCTTAGCTAGAATAGAAAACATTCTTTATGTTAGAGTTTAGGTATTCATTTTAAGCAAAACTAAAAATGTTTGTGTAATCTCATATAGAATGGTCCAGACATAAGACATCAGGCTGCGTTAAGAAAATACGACTGGGACAGGGACTTTTTTTTTTTTAAGGCACCTTGCTTAGTGAGAGAGTTAAGTTTTTAGTTTTTTTCTAAACCCCTAGTAACATTGCTAGCCAACATGCTTATTGGAGTGGAGATTGAACTTAATTATACTTTAATTTGCACACCATCTAAAATAAACTCCAGTTGTTATGCCAACTTTGCACTTGGCTCTGTCCACCCCCATGAAAATCAGTGAAGTTGTGCTGGCTGGTGTATCTGCGCGTCCAATTTATTCTGCAGAATCTATTATTGCATGAACCAAAAGGAGCATGCGTTACAGATGAATTGCCCATGCTACCAATTTTGAAAAAGCCTTTTTGTAATGAAAGAAGTGTGTGTTGTCTATCACTTCTCAGACTAGATGCATCTTTTAAGATGAATAAATCACCTCTATTGCTTCAGTGTTTTTCCCCCTGTAGTGGGTAAAATTACTGGCTCCTTCCCAGCTGAGAACACAGGTTAAACAAAGCTGACACAATTAGAAAAAATGCTGCCTCTTCAGCTAAATAACATAAAAAACACTGTGGAATTTTTGTATGTCTGAATAATTTTAGAAATTTTGAGAAAAAAATAAACATTGTGTTCAGGGTTTGTTTTGATGATCTACACAACTATGACAGTTCAGTCAAAAAGACCTTTTTCTCTTTTGTTTTTGATCACTAGCATCTTAACCTTGGTTGGAAAGACAGATGTGGCTTCTGGATCTCAAGATTTTCCATCTCCCTACTATTAGTAAATACATGTTATTTAACTGCATAGATTATGTGGTCCAGCAAACTAGAAGCTCACAGGCAAAAGCACACTGCTTAATTATGGCTCTCTTCTGTCAACAGCTTACAAGACCGGACATGAACTATGTAGAGCCTGACTTGTTGCAGTATTCTGATACACAAGGCATTAAAAGGTATGAAGTGAATAAGTGTCCACTTTTCACATTGTGGTACATGGCAGCTGGTATGGCGTAATATTTTTGGTAAACCAGAAGTAAATAGTTTTAATTCTAGTTGCTTGCTCCTTAGCTTTTTGCTTCCTACTGGCTATAAGAATTACTTTTTCCTTTCTTTTTTTATTTGTTTTATTTTCTGTCCATTGCCATTTGGATATAGACAGGAGAATATATTGTGTAAATCCCCCTATAGTTAGTAGTACCACATTTTCTTGCACATTACATGTCCCAGAATATAATATTCACCTTGTTTTTGAAAGGCAGAACAAAGAATAAAAGATCTTTCCAGGTGTGTCTACATGAGACCCTTTACTGCCCATTAGACTAATGCCCTCTACACATGCACAACAATTACTGCACACTACAGTATATTAGTCTAATGTGCTGTTTTCTATCTGTAGATAGAGGTGCTAGAAAGTGGCACATTAATTAATGAACAATACCACGAGTAGATGCTGACTGGGATTGAATCGCCACAGAGGGTGAGGAGAGCTATCCTGGCTGGTCATAGACCCATCCCAAAACGGTGCATTAATTAATGCAGTGTACCATATGTATAGATTCTGACTGGGAGCAAATTGGCATGGGGGGTGGAGAGAGCTATCCTGGTTGGGCATAGACCCATCCTGATCTCCACATGGCTGGCAGGCAACTGCCCAAACAGCTGGGACAGCTTCCTCTTCTCTTTCCCACCCCACTCCCTCCCCTGACATGAGGGACAGCCTGATCTCCCCACTGTGCTGGGACAGAGCTGCCCACTGAGCTGGGCCAGCTCTCCCCTGGAGCTCGGGGCTAAGTCCCTGTGCTCCCTGCCAGCCTGGGGTTGGCACCTAGGGTTGCCTGGAGCTCCCCCTGGCTGCTGCAAGGGGGTCAGAGCAGGGCAGAGCAGCCCTGGACTGCGCTGCTCCTGTTGGACTCGATTTGCTCCTAACGGGGATGCAAATAGTTTCATAGTTTCTAGGGTCGGAAGGGACCTGAGTAGATCATCTAGTCCGACCCCCTGCCATGGCAGGAAAGAGTACTGGGGTCAAACGACCCCAGCAAGGTGTATATCTAACCTCCTCTTAAAGACCCCCAAGGTAGGAGCCAGCACCACTTCTCTTGGAAGTTGGTTCCAGATCCTAGCTGCCCTGACCATGATGTAGACATGCACCAGGGAGCGCTTTAATTGCACATGTAGACATGCTGTTCTTGTAGTAAATAACTGAGCAGCAGCAGGTAGGGAGCACAGCATGTTCATTGTTCTGTTCCCTTTAGGTCCAGTGTAAATTTTACCTTCATTCTGGCCATAACTGGCCTAGAACATTCTTACCATATCTCTGACTTAGTATATGCACCATGATTTCAGCACCTTTTGGGGAGATGTGTGTGTTGTATGTGAGAAGATATGCTAATTATCAGAGTGGCTAACTCTTGGCTTTTGTGAACAGTGAAGGCAGAGCTATGCTCCAGAGACTGAAGACAAATATTGACCTCTTAGAAATCAGTGGGACTTCTGTCATTGATTTTATTATAAACAAAGGATGGATCTGTCTTTAGCTTTCTCTATTTACTAGAGATTTGGGTTTTCCGGAAAATTTTGAATGGGAAAATTTTACGGAAAATATTCCAATACCCTGAATAGAACTTGATCTGAGTTAGCATGTTTATTTAACTTATTTTTAGTAAACAAAACTAAAAAAGTACCCCCATGTTAATTTTATGTCCCAATAGCCACAAGTATTTGAACTGAAATATTTGATTAGGGAAAAAATTAAATACAGCACACTTAATGTGGTTTAAATGTTATTTTCAAACAAATTAAAAGCTTTATGTGGAAAGAAATGATTTTTATTGGAACACTTGTAAAAATGTAAAGACAATACACAATAATATGTACTTCCCTTACATTGTTTGTTTAAATTTAAGAAAAAAAACGAAGGCACTGAAAACTGTTGACACACTAATTTTAGCACACCCAAAGAACTGTGCATGATATGCCGTGCTTTGGTTTTGATTTGACCTGCACAGCCAGTTAGGTAAATTTATAACTTGATTTTTTATTTGGATTATTATATAAGTGTATTTACTGCCCTGTTTACAAATCAATAAAACATATATGTATTCTCTCACACACTTCCTAGGGATAATCACCTGAAAAACATTAATTACAACTTTGAAACTGCCAAGCTTGACTAATATTGTATTGGCATCCATTCATTATTACTAATGAATTTCATATAACAATGAATTTTTAGAAATGAAAAATTTCCCACTGAAAAATAAAGCACTGGAAATTTTTCCTCCCCACATCTCTGTTATTTACTCAGCTTCCACTATTTTTGGTGTGTACATTTTTTGAGTGTCTTCCCAAATCAGGCCCTAGCAGTAGATTAGGCATGTACATATATTTGAACTTTGTTTTAACTTTTTTATGCAGAAATCAGTTGATCCACAGTGATTTGAATGCTAGGAGGAAAGGTTTCAGCAAGATAGGCTGTCTAAAGCTATCTGAGTGGTGAAAGCTACAACTTCTGGCTGTCCATTTTGCCAACCCCCTTCAGAAAAAGATTAAACTTGCCCCTTTCTCAAAACATGTAGCATAACAAGACATCTGCAGAATCTTTAATCAGGAGTCGAACAAAAAATTGAATCTTTTTATGAGTAAGTGTACTGTACATTTTTCTGGTTCTTAATTTCTTACATGTACGTGTATTTTGACCTTTTTGATGCGAAGTGTCTTAATTCTCTATTTCAGCTTCAGAGAAGAAATCGCCAAATTTCTCACTGAATATGCCAGAGCTTCAAAAGCATTGAATCCAGAGCATGTAAGAAGAGTGCTTCATATGTGCATTTTGCTGTTCTATTTGTTAAAAACAAGCAAATCTGCACAGACATATCTTTACTACAGGATATTAAAGAGGGAGCACTGCTTAGAAGTCTTGCCACATTTAAAATGTTTTGAAAAAGCTATCAGTACTTTAAATTGGTTTCTCTCTCTCTCTTTTGTTCTGACTATGGTAGGAGTCAGCTGCGGTTCTTTGGCCCTGTACAGTAATTCCAGATGTTCCAAACCCATGAGGAAAACTCCAGGCAGAGGTTTTTAAAGGTTAGGGCCTTGGAGGCATCTGTTCTTACCTCCTGCACTGCTATGAAAAACTGTGCAGAAACTATGAAAGCAGAAGGGCAATAGCTATTATTTCAGCCTCAAGTCCATTACCCTGTTTCTAAATGTGGAATTGTAGTTAATATATTTGATGTATAACACAGTGAGTACTAACATTCTGCCAGTGGTCTTTTTGTAAACATCTCATTGACTACAGCTAAGAGAATAACAAGATATTGCTGACAGAGCCTGGAAGTGAATGAAGTACTTAACACTGTGGAGAACCATAATTAAGGCTTGTCTCTGGTTCTGTGTAATGAATGTGTAGCACTTTTGAAGTTTCCTCTGCCTTGCCTCTCCAGGTTCTGGAAGGTAGAAAGAGCTCTTTTTCTTCATCCACATCTGCCTCCCATTCCTCAGACTGTTGGGGAAGGGAGACAGCTGCATTGGCATTTTATGCCTTTTCAAACAATCATTCCAAATGGATAATAGTTAGGAGTCTTTTTCAAATGCTCAGTGCTCCCCCCTCTCTTCCCCATTGCAAGGCCTTACAAAGCTCTAAATTTCTTAACTAATAGAGAGAGATTCTTTTCTTGATTTATTTGCAAAATGTTTCAGACCATGAAACTGGAGTTTACAATGAACTGGATAAAAAGGTCTTAATTCCCTAACAGCTTAACTATTTTGGATATTGTGCACAATTTTTTGCAATATTCTGAATTTCAGCTATAATGATTTCTTTTTAGCAAAGTCCTACTAAAACCTGTTGTTGCAATCATGCTTGTTCTTTAATTTTTTTAAATATTGTTCAAACAGTATTATAAAAGTGTGGCAGTTCTGTTAATGAACTTCATGACTGCTTGTTTCAGATAATTGTTATGAGTGGCTGTTGTGCTGTCTTTGCTACCCTTTCAACTGTATTATGTGATCCTGGAGGTAAGTAACGCTTTCTTAATTGCAAAGCATTATTCATAGCAATGACTTCTAATATTATTGTGATCTAATATATGTGTACCCATCTTGGTTCAGACTAGATTAATAGAAAATTGAGGCCATCAGCTGTGTATCGCTTCTCGGCCTCTTGAAGGCTCAGATCAAGTATTGTTTCTTTGCTGCCCCCTGCTGCTGCTTGTACATATTGGAGACAGCAGCTAAACTTGTTGCTTGGGAAGACTGTCTCTCTCCGAGTCCTACAGAAAGAGTTTGTGGTGAAAGGAGAATAGGGATCTATGATCTGCAAGTGGAAAAAGCAGATTGCGGAGGTGAGGGAGAGTGGGAGGGGACTAGCAAGAGTAGGAACCCAGATAGAAGTGGAAGCCTGTGTGATTAGGGGGGAGGAAAGGCCCCAGAGAGGGGTAAGAGGTATCAAAGGGGTAAAAAGGGTGCCACTAGCAAAGGGGGTTGGGGTGTTATGCTAATGAGGGATGGCAGCAGAGAGTGAGCAGATGGGGAAAAGGGGTGCATCCTTGGGCAGGGATGGTATCGATATTTGACTACATCAGTAATTTAGCTGAAATTCCTTTATTCAATCCAATATGTCAACAGCAACCATACAGTTATTTTTAACAAAAGCTCCAAGCTACTGTAATAGTTATTAAATATATACTGGATGGCAATGCTACAGTGTTAAAGATTGCACCTGCACAACAGTTAAAATAATAAGCATGTGGTCAGAATACTTACAACTGGTTTAGCAAGGGCAAAATTCTAGCTGTCACATGTTGTTTGGCTTCATCAGATCCAGCTCACACTAGCAAAAAACTCTCTCTTGCTCTGTGGCTAGGAACAGATGTTACATGTCTGAATAATTAAAATTTGTCCTGGGACAAATATGATGTTTGTTTGTAACCTGTCTTACTCTCCTTGTTTTTTATTTTTAAATTATATTATCCATATTCTTAGATGTTTCCTTTCCAGAAACTAATCCAATCTGACACTTAAACTTCTGTTGATACCTATGTTGTTTTTCCCTGTTTCTACAATCCTGGTTTACTTTTAGTGTATTCTTGGTGGAGACAAGTGGTTTACATGTTATTGTCTACTTCTGTTTCCTCCTATGTTAACATATCCACAGTCATTCCCTTCCTTTGTTTAATGCTTAACAATCTCTACCCTGACAGGGTTAACATCTTAATTATCTTTGTCTATCTGTCCTTCTCTTTGTTTGAAACCTGGATTCCTGCAAATTTAGTCCATGCACCTAAGAATATAATCAAACAGTCCATCACCTGTAGCACAATGATATGAATTGTTCTTAATATGTCCCTACAGATGAGGAATAGAGTAGATCACGTAGGAAGGGAAAATGGGAATCAAGGAAACCCTGGCATTGGAGGAGAGTAGAGGAAGGATGGGAAGAAAGAAATGGGGCACAGTCTATTAAGAATGAGTATATCTTGCTAATGAAAAATGGTAAGATAACATCCCCTGCCATGGGGAAGGTGGAGAATGGTCCATGGAGCCTGGGAAATGCACACAGCAACTGAAATTCCAACACCAATCTGATGTAGATTCTTTATACCTTGTAATTTTTGTATAGGAAGCACTCATTCTGTTTCTGGCAAAATTATGTTTGATATCTGAAAGATCACCAATTTGGGCTATTTAGGATAAAGTCCAGAGTGGAGTTTCAGAGTCCTCCTTATAGGCCTCCAAGAGAGCACCCTGTTAGCTACAAAAAAGTAGCTAAGGTTCACACCAACTGTCTGTAGGTAAGTCACAGTAGGGCACTATAATAAAAAAATAGCAGATCAGCTCCTCTTCAATGTGCATAAATAGTTATCAGAACAGTTGCTGCACTGAAAATGTAAAGAAAAAACATCAGAGAAAGATTCAGTATATTGTACAGATTTCTTCAGGTTCAGTTTATTCATGTATAATGAGAATGCCTAATATTATCTGTGGTTGTGTGTGATTTGTTTTGTTTGCTTATTTAGATGGCTACCTTATTCCTACTCCATACTATGGCGGTATAAATTCCAAAACTCAACTGTATGGTGAAATACAACCTGTTCACGTTCCCCTGTTTAGTGAGGTAAAAACTTCTGTTTGTTAAAAACTGTATTAAATGCATGCGCACACATGTTCTTTAAAGCATTCAAATGACAAGGCAAACTCAGCAAAGAGACCGTAGATGAAAACAGATGTAGAGACTTCTTCTCTTCTAAAGCAAGTAGCTTCTTATCCAGCCTGCAGCCTGTTGATCAGATCATGTTATCAGCTTTGTGCTGTGGCAGGCTATGATGGACAGAACTACGTTTTGCAGAGTTAGCAGTCCATCACATTCACAAGCATTATGTTCGTGCTGTAAAAATTCTTACCCTAGCCCTGGATCTCTCAGGCTGTAAGATAGTGGTTCAGTCTCAGAAAGTGACAACAATTTGGAAAGAGGCAGTTAGCCATGTTAGTCTCAAGTCAGGTAAAAAGCAGGGAAAAGGTAGCATCTTAGGGACTAATCCTTTATATTTAAATTCCATTCTATTTAGAACCAGCCTCTGCTTTCTGCAGGTACATATACAGCATCTGACAAAGTAGGATACAAAAGCTTATGCCTCTGAGCCAGTTAGTCTCCAAGGTACTTCCCTACCCTGCCTTCTGCCTGAAGAAGTTGCAATGAAGATATGTTTCTTTACAAGTCAAAAACTTTGTTTTCAAAGCAGTGTTCTTAGTTTTGACTTCTGAGATGACCGTGGCTTTGTTGCTATCGTCTTGCTATTTTCCTTACTTGTGCCATTGTTGAAAATGTGTTCTGCCTCAGTGCACTCAGAACAAGTTAAGGCAGAAGGCAGGGCAGGGAGGCACCTTAGAGAGTGTAACTGGTTTAGAGAGCCACCAGTTTGTCAGATGTTATTGATGAACTTACAGAAAGGAGTTTAAAAGAAAGGGACAGGAGAGGGGGCACTATTGAAAGGGGAAAAATGGACAGATGAGATCAAAAGGGGTAAACAAGACATTTTAACAGCTTAAGAGTGCATCAGAGTAAACTGTTTACTACAGTTACTCTTTCTGGGTAAGAGTTAAAAAATTAAGATACTCTACAGAGAGCTAACGAGCAGTTAGGAATGATATAAACTCCTTTCCAGACTTCATAGTAAACAGTTTACTAGTGTCTCTTAAGATATTCACTGACTTGTTTACTCCCTGTGATCTAATCTACCAACCTGATCTACTCTGCCAACTTTTTGATCTGATCTACCAACTGTCTCAACAGTGAACTCTCTTCCATCTTTTATTTAAGCCCCTTTTTTCTACAAATCCATTCATAGCATCTAAATGCTCATATTTCTCTGAATCAGTCTCTAAGGTGCTGCCCTGCCCTTCTCTGCCTTCTGCTTGACTTCAGACTAATACAGCTAATTACCTCTGACAGCAGGGTAAAGTAAGGCAGACTGCAGGAACTAAATCCATGTACTGCTTTCTTCAAAATATTTCTGTAAATGCATATCAGGTCTAGTCTTCCTCCAAAGTTGCCTTCCACTTAGATTGGATAATGTTAGATACCGCTTCAACTACCACTATATTTCCAACAGCTAGGAGTTTTATTACCCTGAAGTCACCTCCTTTTTTGTTGTTGTATATAGGTGACTGATGAAGAAAGTCACCCTTTTCAGTTAAGAGTTGAAAAATTAGAAGCTGCCCTACAAAGAGCTAAAGAGCAGGTAGGAGAAATTCTATTAGCTCATCTCCAGATTTTTTTTCTAATTACAGTGTTCATCATTTGCTTTTTTACTATGCCTACAACTCTTTGGAAACTGAAATAATTCTAAATTTGATATGTAGCTGACATGGGTACAGTCCTGGCAACAAAAAAGAATTGAATTTGTCTGTATGAAGGGACAGTTTAACCAGGTACTGAAAAGATCCATTATGCAAGTTTTAGCTTCCCACTTGGTGGTCTTGAAGAAGCTTGGAGTACTGGGAAGGCATTACGTTCAGATCTTTAGAAGTGTGTTATTTGAGTGACCTATTCAATTAATAAAAAAAGCATTTTCAGATTCTCAAGGGAGGGGACCTTGCAGTGCCATCCATCCAAAAGGACTGACAACCATGTAATTTGCCATTGGCAATGAGAAGTTTGCAAAAATGGGAGGTCCTGAGGAGATTTTCAGGGCTCCTTGCAGATGGCAGTCTTGAGGATTTTGTCAAAAATACTGTTTTTCATTGGTCAATAAATTTATTATATGAATGTATTTAATTATAGCCATTCTTGTTTAAATAAATTTGATGTTAATCTCACAGTTTATCTTTATCCTTCTCTCTTTTGTTCTGTATTACTTCCTTATGGAAATATGTCTGTCATGTCATTGTCCATTACTATGGACATATGGCTATTAATTGACACTTATTTTGGCCACAGATGTACTGTGCATTTTTAAAATTATGTAGAAGAGGCTGGACTCTGGATTCTAAATATTTATAATTCACAACTCTGTGGGATTGTGAAGGCCTTCTTTACCCAGAACCCGGTTTTTCTGTTCTGCCAGCAGGCAGAGCAGATGATGCTTACTGGCACATGTTCCCAGTGGTGGTCCCATTGTTTTGAAATTGTATTGGCAAAGTCAACTAGAGCTATTTTTCATAATTAAAGTAGAGTTAAAACTAAACTTTGCCAAGGGGTAAAGAACACAATTGTTACAGGGAATAGAAGTGCAATTTTTTTTCATAATTCAGACAGCAGACGGTAGTAGAACTAGAAGATACTTATCAAGTTTATTTAAACCAGTAAGACATAATTATGCTATGTTACAACATAATTATGCAATCTGTTGAAAGTTGTTAACTTGACTTCTGTCACAGGAAACATTGCAGTATCTTTGCAGTGCTTCCAAGTTCTAATTTTTAAAATAGACAATAGTTAACTTACAAAAAAAAACAGAGTAAACTTAAATATCAGTTCTATTAGTATTAGACTAAATGTTTTTATAGTTACTTTTGTCAAGTCAATAACCAGCAAAGTCTCTTTCTTCAAAATTTCTAGTCTAACTTCTCCTGTATTAAACAGCCACTAGTGCATGATTATTTATTCAACATGATTATTTATTCAGAGGCCTGTGCTGCCATTCTAGTTGTGTTGAAGCTATCCTACATAAACTAGAAGAGTAGTTCAAGCATATCTGGGTGTAGGTTCCAGCAGCAAAATGAGTTATCAGTCACTGGATCCCAACAAAGCTATGTTAATTTCTCAGTGTTGCCTATTAGTAGGTTATGCTGAATTTAACAAACAGGCAAATGTGTCATGGGTAGTATCAAAATGTTTGTGTAAGCTTAAGAATTGTGAGGTACATTTAAGAGTTCTCTCATGCTAAGAGTTCTGAGAACATGACCTACTAATAAAACAATTTATGTAGTCATTAGCTTGTTACTATTACTAAAATAATATGGAATACTTGTATTTCAAATGACATTTCAAAGTTTAAAGAAACTCCCTAAATCTTGTGATGTTCCATTACAGGAAACCATATTTAAGAGGCTAATTTTAATTATTATCTGTCACTGTAGCGTCTTAGTAGCATCTTGAGTACAATTGTATACGTTTCTTGATCTTCCATTATAAACCTTTAAAGGTTTGAGTTTATACTGACTTCTTTTCAAACACTAAATACACTGTTTATAATTTCCTGCCACCTACACGTAGAAATTACTTTTCTAGTTTTGGACACTTTCAGGGTCTTAAAAGAACATTGTTTTGGAGGGTGAGAGGGGTTGATGGGATTTTTGAATTACATGGGTGGAATGTAATTTGAAGGAAGAGATGAATTTTTCCATTAGAATACATGATGGCAAGAACTGTTTTTTAACTTTTATATAGTTAAAACTGTAGGTTTGATCCAGACTTAATTGAAAGTTCTATAAAACTGTATCAGCAAAGTTGCTCTTGCACTTTTTAGCAATATTAAGCTCATCTTTAACTTTTGAAGTATCTCTGTTAGGCCTGTGCTAATAGGGAAATACTCAATTTGGATTTGGATTTGGCCAATTTAGAGGATAGTGATTTGGAGATTCAGATCACTGTCCTGAATCGATTCAGCTGAATCAGCTTCAGACGATTCGGCGCTGATTTGGAGAGAGTGGGTGATTCGGATCAGCCGGGGAGAGGCAGGTGCAGCTGGGCGGCTGCAGGTTCTCCTGTGGCTCCTCCGAATGTGCCTGCCTCTCCCTTGGGTGTGGGGAGCCATAGGAGAAACCCCCATGGCTGCCCTGCCCAGCCCCATCTCCCGCCTAGCCCCAGGACTTTAAAAAAAATAAAAAAAACCCGCACTCACCAGCTGCCAAAGCAGCTACTGGGGCCTCTGGGCACTAATGGCAGACCCCGCTGTGCAGCGCGGAGCAGTGAGAGGCAGCTGGGATCCCCACCCCCGCTTGGCACCCACGTGGCAGCTTCCCATGGCGCAGCGTGACTTGGCCAGGTGCTTCACACTGCCTGGGAGCTGGAGCTGGGCGCTGCCAGGCTCCGGCTGCAACATGGAGCTGCCCTAGCTCCCAGACAGCATGCAGTGCCTTGCACACGTGGGTGCCAGTCGAGGGTGGGGGGGTGGCGATTCCTGCTACCCCCTCCACTGCCTTGCGCTGCATGGTGGGGCTCTGCCATGAGCACCCAGAGGCCCCAATCACTGTACCTGTAGTTGGTGATTGTGGAGCTTTAAAAAAAAAAAAAAAAAAAAGCCCCACAATCACCGGCTCTGGCAGCTCATGGCAGAGCCTCCCCGTGCCACATGGGGCAGTGGGGATTGCCCCTCCCCCATTTGCCACCCACATGGCAGCTGCCCCATGGCACAGGTACAGCACAGCTCAGCAGAGCACTGCGCACTCTCTAGGAGCTGGGGCTGAGTGCTGCTGGGTTCTGGCTGACTGCTGGAGCTGCCCCAGCTCCCAGGCAGTGTGTAGCACCCTGACAAGCCATGCTGCACCTGCGCCATGGGGCAGCTTCCATGCAGGTGCCAAGTGGGAGTGGGGTTGATCCCCGCTGCCACCTGTGCTGCGCAGGGGAGCTCTGCCATGAGCCCTCAGAGGTCACTGATCACTGCTACTAGAGATGGTGGGTGTGGGGCTTTTTTTTTTTTTTTTAAGTGCCAGGAGGCTGAGCCAGACGGGAGATGGGGCCAAGGAGGACAGCCATGGGGGCTTCTCCCACGGCTCCTCCGGCTGTGCCTGCTTCTGCGCCGGCAGGAGGAGCCACAGGAGCTATGCCCTGCTGCTGCTTGCCTAGCCAGTGTGGGGTGGGCACAACGCAGGCGTGGCTCACTCTGGGTGGCAGCAGGGCATAGCCCCTGCTCCAAGCACTGCCGCACCCGCATCAGAGACGGGAGTGGGGGCTCTGCACTGGCGCCGCTTGCCAGCTGGCGTGGAAAACATGGGATGTAGGCATGGCAGCGCTGGGAGCTGGCTATGCCCTGCTGCCACTTGCCCCCTTCTGCCTGGAACAAGCTGTGCCTGCATCCTGCGTCCCCCCCACCCCCTTCCCTGAGTAACACGCCCTCCCCACCCCAGCTGTGCAACTTGTCCCAGTCCCAACCCCAACAGACTTACCAGCTGGAGGCAGCTGTCATCTTCAAATCGGCCAAATCTTTTTTGAAACTTTTTCTGAATTGATTCAGATGCTTCAAATCAATTCGGAGCTTTTACATGGTCTCCCTATTCGATTTGAATTCAGAGATTCAGTCCCCAAATTGGGTTGAATCTCCTCCAAATCAAATCGGCTACCAAAGCTTCGCACAGCCTTAATTTCTGTCTCATACTTGTACAACTGAAGTTATTTTCAAGGACAATGTTACTAACATCTCTTTTGGTATGTCCCTGTAAAAGCTTATTTAAATGGAGGAATAGACTATTGAAAAACAGTATCTCTGCAACAGTTCTCTTTGTGGATATTCTCATTCCTCACTAAGGGTTCCTTGTGGTTCTGTTAAGCTTTCATCAGCTTTAGAAATGGAGCATGCTAATCTACAAATAAGCACAGCATTGCTGAATAAGAGTATCCAAGAAGGTGGTCTTTTAGAATGGTTGTTGTGCAGAACGTTAACATCCTGCTTTATTTTGCTATGAATACCCCATAAAGACAAGCCCTAAACTACCAACCCAACAGTTTATTTTTCACTTGGTTCATAACCACAATAAAGTTAATGTGATTATGTTAAATTAAGGGGAGAGCAGAGCCCAGACTTCCCATACAATGAAAATACATGTATGTCTTTTTGTTTAACCTTTCTTCTTATTTGTGATAGAAGTCCTGCATAGTTTTGCATTTCAAGTAATTGCTCTGTCTTTTAAGGGGGCAAGATAAGTGTTGAAAAGTCATCCAATGATTAAGTTCTCTACAAAAATAGCTCATCATCATTCACATTGGTTAGAGTGGCAATTCTTCATGTTGATGCAGTGATTGAACAGAGAAATCTGTTTTTCCTGTTATCATTACACAATTTGCTAGTATTCAATGCAGGATTTGTCAAAGAAAAATATGATTCAAGGTTTTAGGAGGGACAATAGAAAATACCATTTTTACTCAAATATAAGATGGTTCCAAATATAAGACAACCCCAATAATTAGATTTTATGGCAGGCTGAGAGATGGGTAAACTTTTTGGGGCCCCATTTGGTGATGTTTGCCAGGCATTTCAGCCTGGTGAAGAAATGGGACTCACTAGAAATGGAAATGAAAAGTACAGCTCAGCTGTGAGTGAAGAGAACACTGAAATATATTCAGTGGAGTGGCTTATCATGACTTGAAAAAGAGTCAATGCTGAGGGGAGTTGAGTGCATTGGGCAGTAGCATAGATCAGATGCGGTGCACTAACCTATCCTTTTGGTGGGTTTCCATCAGCATTTTTTGGCACCAGGGGAGGGTGTCGGAATTAGCTCCAGACTCTCTGAGTGTCAGCCTGGTATTGCATTACCTCCAGGCTTGGTGCCAGTTACCTCCTGGGGGAGCAACTGCCCATTTGTTTTAAGGGCCACAAAAAAGGGTTCCCATCATTGTTTGGGCCAGATGGACCATATGTTTTGTAGTCATGCTCAGTGTTGGCTACATTTAATCAACTTCATAAGTGGCTTCCCTTACTGAAAATGTGCTGCTTTTGGCAGCAATTTAATGCTAGACCGTGTATTTTATGAGGTTTGCTCATGTGGAAATGTAAGATGAGGAGCTTTTTTCTCCATGTTGATTGGTGAGGGAAGGGAGCCACATCTTGTATTCAGGTAAATGTGGTAGATGACTCTGGAGTGTCCCACTACACTTAAAATGTTATGTAATATGATTTATAGTAGCATGCTTGTTTTGTGTAATTACACTTTTTGATTATGCAGGGTTTTATCCTTTACACAGGAGAGTACTTACAGTCTATTTATACTAAGAAGAAAAAAGAAATTAATTTCTTAAAGGGATTCTAATTCAAATCTATTTTTTCTCCCTGGTCATTCAGTGCAGTTTGTATATAATAATAATTTAAGCTGGCATTTGTTTTCACTTTCCTAAATGCTTCCTAAGATGGCAGGAGATAATATTTTTTTAAACCTCTCCTACGTAGGATTCTCTTAGAATTTTATTTCCATTTTTTTTTCCTTTAAAAAAGAAATAGGAAAAAAACACTTCTCAATGGGTTGGTATAAATGAAGGTCCACATTCTACTTTATATTGGTCATTGTGTAAGCTTAGTTATCCTACTAGACTAAAAAATCATTCTAAAAGTTTGCCAGTGTAACACAGTAGAATTTGGTCCATTCTGCATTGTAATCCTGCCTATGAATATTCATCTTTTTATTGAATTATGACTAATTTTGATTTACGTTTGCCAACAAGCCAGTATATGTGTTTGCTGATATATTAAGTGGAAATGTTGGGTAAACTAGTAAATAAGTCATGTTGCTGAAACTTCATTCTGTTTTTAAAGGCTTATTAATGAAAGATCATGTATGTTCAGATGCAGTCAATAACTTTTTGTTAGTTATCTTTCTGTTGAAGGGTTAGCAATTTTATAGCCTCTCTAGTCCTTTGTTTGACGTCATGTTGGCGTCTCCGACTATCAGTTTTTCTTTTTTCAGGGCATCCGAGTCAGAGCATTAATCCTGATCAACCCTCACAATCCATTAGGGGACATTTACCCAGCACAGTTACTGAAAGAATGTCTAGAGTTTGCGCACAGGTTTGAGTCCTAGCGCTATTTGTTTGGGATTTAATTTTCCATGATGCAATATGCTAGTTTTGAAAACCAACTTTGGTAATCTCCTGTTTGTCCCATTTGGTGTATGTTCCACTGGGAGGGGGTTCCTTTATAGAGTTTATCTCACAGTTATCCTTTGCATGTGGCCTTTCTGGGAAATAAAGATGATACTTCTGAACGAATAACTGTGGTGAGAATTGGCTTTATGTGCAGTTTAACACAGATAAAGCTTTCTTGTTTACATAATTTTTTATTAACCTGTCCTTTAATGCATGTGTCAGAAAAATAAAACTGGTGATTACCAAAGTCTTTAGCAGCAAGAGTGTATAGTATGGATAGAACTTTCATTTGAACAGTTGATCCTCAAATTGGCATTGTGGAAAAAAGACATTCAATTGGCTGGTGACGGATCCAATTGTTTAGGTACCCTTTGTAGTTTGGGATGTATATTCCAGTTACTCTTCTTCAAAGAAAGACATCCTCCAAACAGTCTCTTCCCCCTTTCATCTTTACTTGTCAATTTAGGCCCTAATAATCTCCTAAACTAAAGCCTGTAGGTACTGATAGGAAAAAAGCATTTGCAACATGTAGACTCCTTGTTAAATATTTAAGCTTAACTTAATGTATTTAATTGGAAGGTCTACTGCACTAGAAACAAGAATCTCAGAAATTGGCCATAAGCCAATTGCTGTTTCACAAAAAATATTTTGGGGTTTTGGGTTTTTTTTTCTTTTGGAACAAGAATGTTTGTTTTTATCATACAGCACCCATATTTGGGTGACTTCTCCATAAAAATAATTATGGCAGTTGGAATAGTTCTTGGAACTTCTCAGATGTTAGTAGTGAAGGCTGCAAATGTTTGTTTTTCTAGCAGAATCGACAGGTCTCTAGTTGGCAAAATAATATTTTAGAGGAAAACAGTTAATAAAATAAAAATTACTTAAATTTTCAAACCAAGAATTGTGTTCTGAAACTGGATTTTCTTTTAAAAGTATAGAAACAAACTACAAAAAACTGAGGTTCTACTCATTTGAAATACCTGCACTTCTTGGGTATTGAAAGGCACTCTGCCATGGATTTCACTTCTGAAAATATCCAAGGCTTGCTGGTATCAAGTAAAATAGCACAACTTGCTGTGTCATGTGGCTTTCACAATGGGGATTTAATAGAAGATATCTCAAGTGCATGGCAAGTCTTAATGATCTAACTGCACTCATTTTGTGTTGTCTTGCAATAAGTTTTGCAGGGTAGAGGGGAACACTGTATCTTGCCATGCTTGTTTTAATTTTAAATAGTGGGTTGGGAGGATTACTTCTGTTTTTTGGAGGCATTCTTAGCATGTACTAGGATTTCAGACTGCAGTTTTTCTGCTGGGAAACATGATATGCAAATGGATATTAGTAGTGTGCAAGTGCTTAAACTGAAATTTGTAATCTTATATAAGAATTGGTTTTGGTAAAATGTCTCTGGGGTGAGTATAATGGCGTAAATAGGTAGGTTTATAGGTGCTTTGCAATGGTGAGAATCATGCTAATAAGCACATGGAAATGCATTAAAGCTTTGAATTTTAAATAATTTAACAAATCTTTTATCTTTCTGTACATAGATATGAATTGCATGTAATAATGGATGAAATATACATGCTGTCTGTTTATGATGATATCACCTTCACCAGTGTTCTAAGCTTAGACTGGTAAGTAGGGATGATTTTTTTGTAATACCAGTAGTTTGAATAGGGATGCTCATGGCTTAGGCAGGGGGTTGGACCAGATGACTTCTGGAGGTCCCTTCCAGCCCTACTTCTCTATGATTCTATGAACTGGAACGTGTACCATATGTTCAGACTGCTGACATTAGCAGTCTCATTTTTATATGCAGGCCTCTGGTTATATACAATGGTGTTTTATCGTGAAGGTAGAGCTCTTGTATACTACTTGCAGATGAGCAGTGAGAAAATTGGGAGTGGGTTTTTCTGTAGCTGTCTGACACAGCCTGAAGTTAAAGCATTTAGTATAACATTTATAAAGTAGACAAGTCTTAACAAATTATTTTATCATATCTCCATCTTACATAGGATGGAAGGTTTTTCTTAAGTGTTTGTCTAGGGCAAGTGGTAGAAGTGTACCTACATATTTGGTACCTGCTAAATAATATGTGCTTTCACAAAAAGTACAGTTTGGTTAACCCAGCATTCTTCATTAAATGGTAATTCTCTGAGCCTGTCCACTAGTTAGGACAAAAATGTAGCCAACTGTTTATGGTACTATAAGAGACACATTCTGCACCACAGAATGAAGTCAGTAAAGGATTTTGACCTGTGCAGATTCATTGAGGTTGTTTATAAGCTTTTATCCCTCAACTCTGTCCTCAGGCTGCAGCAACTGTTAGCGAAGGCCTGTGCTAAGGGACAGATATACACAGTACTCAGCTCTGCATTTGTGTCCACTGATTATTCATCAGGATCTAGCTCAGTAGAACCACACCATATAAGAATATAAACCAAAATTCCCTTCATTCCTTCCATAATCTAATACCTGCTTTATGCAGTATGAGAGAGACAAAAACCTTGTGAATTTTTTGAGCCATGTACCACAACATTTTTTGTTTATTGCTTTGGATTTGCTTCCCGATGAATAGAGTATCTCAGCTGAATGTGTGTTCTAGCTTTAATCATTCTGATACTTATAAATGATTGTAGTCTTTTTCTACAAATGTTTCAATTTGAAAATCACTTATTCTAGTTAGTCTGAGAGAAATTGTGATGCTGATCTTCAAAGGTGCAATTATAGGTGTGAAACTTTTTTCCCCCCTCCAGTTTACCAGATCCAGAACGGACACACTTTATGTGGGGCTTTAGCAAGGTAGGTCAAAATTGTTGTGTCTGCCTTTTTTCAGGGGGATATTTTTCCATAAAATAACTTGGAATGTTATGATGCAATATGCATCATTGATGTGTATATTGCGCTTACTTAATAACTTCAAAATACATTTATAGAGCTTATTGCCTTGCGGTCTACTTTAACACTTTCTGGACTGTTGCCATTATTTTGTTCACACAGATTACATGCTGCCAGTTTGAAGTAACAAGACAGTTTTACCAACTTAGTGACAAAATAACAGAAAGCTTTATAAAATATTCTGCTTATAGAAGAAACAACTAGAAATGAATGTTGTAGAGCACTTGGAAGTTAACCATTTTTATAATTTTTCCCATCTCAAATTTAAAAACTGCTTTTTGTTTTCTACCTCCTCTTGCCTACTAAAACAAGGAAGCTGAGTTTGGGTCAGAAATAATAGCATGCTTTTACAAACAAAGCGTGGGACAATGAACTGGGGACACCCAAGATGTTATCCTTCTGCAGCCTCTGTTTTGCAGGGTAACTGGTTCAAGTAGCCTGACCTCTCAGTCGTCCCCATCTCAAGTATCTGTCACTTTCTACAGTTGGGTATTTTAGCTTAATATGTATACTGCTTCAGAAATGGTGTTCTAAAGCTTTCTATTTTTACAATTCCTAAGTTAATAACTCCTGTGGGCTTGCTAACTCTTCCCACTTAGTATCTGCTAATTATTTTTGACTAACTCTTCCCACTTAGTGTCTGCTAATTATTTTTGCCTTTTATATTCTTCCTGAATCTGAAGTTCATGAACATTGTAACCATAAAAGTGATAAAGTTTTGCTGAGCCCTTAAATGGTTCTGATTAGTTTCAGTATTTCACATGCAAAATCTCTGCATGTTATTTGTGGAAAGGTACCTCTAATATGTAATTTGAAAAGTATTTTGGGAATCATAGAATTATAGAAAATTAGGGCTGGGAGAGAACTCAGGAGGCCATCTAGTCCAACCCCCTGCTTAAAGCAGGACCATTCCAAACTATGTCATCCCTCCCTCATGCCCCAGTCAGCCCCTCTGCAGTACATTGAGCTGGGTATAGCAGCCCCAGGCCTGCAAGCTGACCCCCAGTGCCCTCCCATTCAGAGCTGCTCTACCCAGGTTCCATGTGCTGCACCTAAATAAACTGTGAAGCTTATTGCTCTGGAGTCAGTTGCTCCTGGGCAAATGTTCAAATGATGCACCTGGGAGCAACTGATTCTGGAGCAGTAAGCTCTGCAGTTTATTCAGGCACTGTAATTGCACATGTAAATTGTGGTTTTTTGTGAGCAAGAATCCCTTGTGTTTACCTCAAGTAGCAAACTAAAACCAGGAATTGCGCTATGTTTATGGGGACACTTCTAGCCCAGTTGCTATATCTGTCCATGTTGGCTGATTTTATTCCAGCTTTAATGTGTATATATTATTTTGACCCAGTCCTGCAAAACATTGAACATCCTTAAATCTTATTGATTTAGAAGTCAAAGATGCCTGATGTCTAGCAGAATTAGGTACCAGCTGGTTTTATCCCACTAGAATAATTTTACTCTTTGGGCTGGAAGAACTAAACATGTTCTGCATCTTGTATTAACAAACCTTTCCTTTCTTGAAAATATTGTTACATTGAAAAAGCCAGTTCCATGAGCATTTTAGAATGTGTGAAGGGGGTGTGCAATGTGTGTAATGTCTCGCACCCATTAACTCCCATCCCTTCTGATCTTCCCTGCCACACATTTACATTTCCACAGACCTGCATTTTCCAGACTGGCTTAGGCTTCTATTGCACCCAGGAGAGTACAGAAAACACCAGCAGACTCTCCCTGTGCCTGAAGAAGGGTGTTTGTTGCCCAAAGCCTGTAAAGAACAGTTTTTCCAACTATTTAGTTGGTCTAATAAAAGATATCACATTTACCCAGACAACCTTGTTTGCCTAGAATGCATAGAAGTATTTAAATACCAGATTTTACAGCCTTCAAAGAAAAAAAATGTACTTTCCTTTCTGATATATCTCAAGGAAAGATCCACTATGTGAAGATGATGTTTGGCTACTGGTACTAGACCTAAAGTACATAGCATTAAAAGACTTTTCTTGGGGAACAGTAAAGGCACTTGTTTAATGAGCAGAAATCAGAAAATGACGACATTGAAGTTGCACTATAAACTGAACTCTGTCCTCTTGTCTCTTCATAATCTTCAATTCCATACATTCTTGTCTTCCTGCGATCTTGGACTAGATTTATACTATGACAACTGGAACATGAACCTCTTGGTTCAGATACAGATGTTAAAAAGTACAAAACTTCTTAATATTTTTTAAACTCCATATTTTGTGTGTATGTAATTGCTATCTAATTACTTGATAAGAATACCATATTTTGTGACAAACAACATACACCTTTCCCCAAAATATTGGGTTGCATGTTTTAAGTGGGGAAAGCTGATTTTTCTGACCAGGACAGATGCACTCTGCTTTGATTCCTGCTCCACAGTGCAGCAGCTGTTGCATTATTATTCAGGCAACTGAGGGAGTCAGTTGACTGAATGGCCCATTGTTTTTCACTCAAGAAATGTTAACAATAGTCTCTCCTTTTTAATGGTCTTAATTGTCCATTAATCAAGCTAACCTTTGGGCTATTTTGCTGTTTGATAGTTTATGCTGGTTTATCCTAGAATATCCTACTTTATCCTCTCCTCCTTTTTTACAGGCTTGGAGACTCTAGCCTTTTTCAAAATCATAGATTATGGAGACCATTATTTAGCAGCAATTAGGGATTAAGCTTTAGTTAAGCAGGAAAGGGAAGGTGAGACAGTTTCTGTCTCTTTATGCAGTCATAATTCTAGAAAAATCTTTTTTTCCCTTCATTCTCTCTTTCAAAAACAAAGTGCATGTTGTATATGAGAAAATATGGTATAACAAAAGTTAAAACTCAGGCATGCATTCAAGTCATACAATGATCATAAAATGCCATAACGGTTTCATATTCAGTCCTTTCACTGATGAAGCAGCAAGGAATCTGTTCTGTGGGATATTCTGTCAAGGTTTTCTTGTTAGGCTCAGTAGGGTGAACCTTTGTCCTGTTGAGTTGTATCATATTACCAGCTGTATGACAAGATTTATTTGAAATTTTCTTGTGGGTGGATTGTATCTGTTGGTGGGAATGTTTTTGGTTTGTGTTGTACGCAAAGAGCCATTTCTTTAAACTTATTAGTCTCAGCAAAGTGCCACTGGAACTATTGATTACTGGTATGTATATTTTGGTGTAAAATTTCCATCCAAAATTCCTTGGTTTTGATCCTCTGTTTGGGGGACACTTGGGTTCATAACCTGATAATATTTAACACAAAGAAGGTAACTGTTTGTCATATCAATGGAATAACTATCATTGCCATCTTTCAAGTGGGAAATTTGAGGCATAAGCAGGATGCTCATTGCCTAAGGATTCCTGAACTGGGGGTAGTACCCTCCACACACAGATCCCCAGGACTGCCTAGTTAAGTATTTAACAATTTACATTAGTAAATGTCTGTTAAGCAAATCAGAAAGGATTCAGATAGGCAGAACTTCGGTGTATGAGATCATCCACTTCAGTGAAAGATTTGAAAATTTCAAACTCTATTGTACTCACCAATTACCTGACTCTCCTAGATCAGAGCTGTCCAATTTCTGAGTAGCCAGGAACCTCAGGGCCTCTTGATGTACAAGCCACACACTACAGCACAGCGCCATCTAGCAGGACACCCTGCCTCCCCTCTCCCCCCCCTACACCCCCCCCCCCCCCCCCCCCCCCCCCC